AACAAATGCAGCAGTTTCTTCTCATGAATAACATGAATTTACATAGAATATCTTCTTAGTACATTGCTGTCAACATGTTGCTGCTACCATACCTCAAACAAATATTGCAGAGCTGGAAAACATCCAGAGGAGGTCAAGCAAGATGATTAAGGCATTGAAGCACCTTTCCTATGAGGAAAAGCTGGGGAGTCTGGGGCTTTCCAGTTTAGAGAAAGAACAATGATGGTGGGGATACAACAGGGGTTTATAAAATCACACATGGGGTGGAGAAAGTAGATAGAGAATATTTTCATCATGCTGCTGAGGTTACACAATGAGTAATTATACCTGTCATCGCAGTAGGTGAATTTCATGTCCATGCTATGACGGCTCAGGAATGTCTTGCTATCCAGTGGAATATCAGTGTTGGAAGGGTGCTGAATAGGCTCACACATTAATATGAGGCAGGATAAGAGAGGCTCCTTATAGCCACACAGGGCATGTGGAGGGCATGTATTATAGACCTTCATTTGCCCAGTGCAGTGCAAAACCTGAAATGTAAAGAGTTCATTTGTAGTATTTAGGAATCCTTCTATGGTAAACAAGTTGAACATGTCAGCCAACATAGGTAAACACGGTTACCTTCCATGTGGCAGATTTCAGATTGACTGTTCTACCTCTGTTGGTAACCGTGCATTTCATTCTCATAAAGAAGTCACGTTCCATGGACATCTCTTTATTTTTTTTCCCAAAGCCTGGACCTAGGAAAAATTTGGAAAAGATAATATTTTTACTTGAAATATTTTTACTGCACTCTTCTTAAAAATCCACCCCTCTTACTCTTGCCTAGCCCATGAAACCATTTCCACTCTCATTAGTTTTATTTGTGGAGCTAGGGGATCACATGTTTATTTGAAGTCATGACCTCCCTGATCCTATGAGGTAGATCTTGCTAGAAGACTGGTATCAATTTTCTGGCATATTTGTTACCATCGATTTGTGGCAAAGTGTACAGGAGAAGGAGAGGTCAAAGGCTCCCCTAGATGTACAGTACTTGGGCTACGTAACAATTGAACAGACACTAACATACACACGAGAGAGGTGATTGTCTCCACATTACAACAGGTTCTTTAAGATAAGTCTCCATATTTCCTTTTGCCCTGTCTCCTCTGCATTTTTTTAAATTACCATTTTTCAGGCTCAAGTTTTCTCGAATTTCTTCGTGATCACATGGATGGGTGAAATCAAAAATGCTGTGTCCAGTCAATTCCACCTGTTTGAGAGTAAGTCAGACAAAAGAGGGACTTAGAAATAAAATGTAATACTGCAACATTATTTACACTGTGAACATACTCTACAAATGAATTTTAATCTATGAAAGAAGTTAAAGTAATGTTTATGGCAGGTGCGTCTGAGCTTTAGCTTTTTAATTTTTGTAAATACCGATATTTATTTTCTTGCTTGGTTCTGAACCACTGTGTTTTGAAATAAAAGGCAGGATACAGATTCTTAAATAAATAAAAGGCTTTTTAAATGTATATGTTATCTCCCATCCTCCTCTAAAGGTTGAGGAAGAGTTACAAACAAAAATTTATTTTGTCCTCACAAGGACCATATCAGACTAAAACTGTTGCCGCTTTGCTCTTCTCTGTCTTTCATTTTTCTTGTAACCTGTAGCTGAACACAACTCGTAAAAGGATGCCATTGTGGGTAATGGCCCTCTGGCAACTCTATATCATTGGTTGCCAATGAGGAGGGGTACATGGCAACACATCACACGATCAGTTCATATCATACATTCTGTTTAAACTGGAAACACAGAGTGGTAGCAGATCAGACCTCTTCAAACATTTAATTTCATCTGGAGTGACATGGAGTGTGAAAAAATGGAACAGAATCAACAGGGAGATACAGATACACATAATGCGATGCAGCACAATGTATACTACTTAATGTAGAACTCACCTTGGCATTTTAACTGACAGATTCGATAAGAAGCATAGTAATCCTTCTACCCATACTTTACTGTTACCCTCACTACCGTTGACAATGTATAAAACATTTTT